TCACAAACCTAAACTCAGAATCCTCCTTCTCAAACACAAGCTGCAGAGACGGGAAACTTCTCTGAGACACCTCCACAAAAAGCTTGTTGACAACACCATACCCTAACCTTCTGATAGCGTCTGATTTGAACTCAGGCAGAGGAGGACTAAACAACCCACCATCTTCCACATCACTCTCAATCCCTGCTTTAAGCACACCTAAAGAGACAGTAACAATAACATGATCTGCAAACACAACAGACCCATCTGAGAAATGCAGCTTCACAGGACCCTCTTCACCACTCCCCCACTCAATCTTCACAACCCTCCGGTTCAATTCAATCACACCTTGAGGAAGAACAGAGGCTAAGTGATGTATAACACTTAAATAGCCTTTAGCTATAGTGATCTCCTCCCCTGGAAACATCTGGTACTCACTCTCCGCAGCGTAGTCAAGCGTGTAGAGATCATCAGCTGACGTGTAAGTCCTCTGCGTGTTACTAAACATAGTAAAGACAGCTTCTTCAAGCGATCTCCTACTCCACGTCCCATACTTCTTCTCCCCATTCTCTCCTTTACTAACTGAAGCCCAATAAGCATCAAACCCAGATCTCAAGAAAGACCCAACACTACTTCCGTTAAACCCATCACCGGAAGAACAACAAAACCTAGTGGCAATCTCGTAAATTTCACCCAACCGTTCCGAAACGCAGTCTTCATCGTCGTTTTGAGAGATTTCTTTCCCCTGAGCCAACTCCATGAGCGCATTGAACAGAGCCGAGACGGGCTCGACGATAAAAGGCTCAATCTCGAACCCTCCTTCCGCAAAGGTCCGAGCTTTATCGACGGTGGGGTCCATACACTCCCAGGGCTCCTCGGAGACGAGGGATCCCGTCTCCTCGGCGATTTTGTAGATTGGGCTCCCGCCGATGCCGTGGATCCACGTGGCGCCCATCTCGATCTTCTCGGCGGAGAACTCGGAGGTGTTGATCCTCCCGCCGATTCTTGACCCGCCCTCGACGACGGAGAGGTCGAAGGCGTTGTTGGAGGCGGTGTAGAGTTTGTTCGCCGCCGTGAGACCGGCCATTCCGGCTCCGATGATCACTATTCTCGGTTTCTTCGCCATGGGAATCTCTCTCACTGTCGGTGTGGTGCGGTGAAATTGAGAAAAGAGAGAGAGTTTTGGGGATGAGGGAAGGAGAGGGAGAGAAGAGTGAGTGAATGAATGGAGAGAGATTACTTTGGCAGAACATTTATAAGGGAGATAGAGAGAGACAGTGTGTAGTGTGTGTGTCTCTCTCTGACCCAGGAAGCTAGTTGTAAGAGATTTTTACTAATTACTATGTTCTTGATTTTATCATTTTAACTATCACTTCCTCTTCCTCTGTTTCAAATTTCAGATGAGATGTGTTCTAGATTTTAACTATATTACTTCCTCTGTTCTAGATTTTTTTTTTTCATGTCGACTAAATAGAAAAGGTTAAATGTCCAGTTTTTTTATTTAACTACAACAGTTACATTTTAACTACTGGACATCTATTATATATTTTATAAAAAAATTATATAGAGATAAATAAATTAATTAGTTAGTTATAAATTACATGACAGTTTTAAAACAACATTTACTATAAAGGAGGTAAATTAATGATATGATTCTATATTGCTACATATCAAATTATATAATGAAATACTATATGTAATCTGTAGTTCTAGTTATTTAAATATAAGTAAGAAAATAATATTCTGTAGTTATATCTTAGCATAAGTTTTACTTAGTTAGTTATGATTAAAACCTTGTAACTATTTTAGTAATGTACAGTTTTGATGAAACTGACCTTGTGAATTAGTGATTAGCACCCGAAGCTGTGCCGTTCTATATATGAATATTAAACTCAAAAGTTAGGTTTAATTATCCACCTTTGAGTACTGTTTTTTTTTCAGCATCCACTAATTACTGTTTAGATTAAAAAAAGAACCAAATTATTAGCATCAGTATGACACACAACACCTATGTCCAAAAATATACATGTCAAATTAGATTTCAAGTCCCCTCAAAGCTCACCTATCCTCTCACTGACTAATCAGTTTTTTTTTTTCAGAAACGCATGTTCATTATTTTAGTAGCTCTCTATTTGAATTTAGCAGGCTGGTGATCTAAGCAATGTCTCTTTAAACAAACAAATTAAAGTAGGGCAAAATAATAGAAAGAAATGATAATATATGGAAAGAGAGAGGTCACATGTATGAAAAAAAGATGGCAGAGATACGGCCCACACGATGAAGATTACGAGTCACTGGTACTGATCCACCTTTGATCAACTTAACCATGCTCATTGTGTCATCACTCTAAGATCCATCTTGATGTATCTAGCTCGTTCTATTTACACATGCGCAGATAATTATGCATGCAGCTATAAACGATCATCCCAAGTTGTCTGATCCTGAAGGGTAAAAAGTATGGTACAAAAGTAAACATGATTCTAGTTTAATTTTTAATTTAGATTAGGATGAATGTGGTGAATGTATGACTCATATATATAAACATGCAGATTTAAAATAAATATCGTAAAAAATCAAAAATAAACAATAAGAAAAATATCATCATAATATAAAAACAAATATCGTCATAAATTACACATATTACATTTTTAAAATTTTTCCAAAAAATAGTTACTGGAAATATAATTTAAAATTAATTTATCTAATTATAAAAAATAGTAAAAGAACAATTGACTACATAGTTTTTGATAAAACTAAAACACATCTATTGTGAAAAAAAAATCACCTAACATCATCTATATTAAAATGGAGGAATATGATTTTCAAAATATCTTGTATATGAAGTTATATCATCTTAACATATTTGTTTTGCGCTATTCTGATACTTTTAATGTGTGACCACCAGTAATTTAACATTCTTTTACTGAAGTGCGGTTTACCATTTTTGTTTTGTTTTGCAGTATTACATTTCGAAAATATAAAATTAGCGAATCACTAGTAGAGAGTCTTATCGATTTATTTTCACTATAGTGTTAACTTTCTTAGAAGAACTATTGTTTGCTTGATTTGTTTTTGGATCAAATACTACTGTTTGAAGTTGAACTTTCAAAATACCCAATCGACATGATAATTTATTTTATTTAAGACGACAAGAATATATATAGTGGAAAATATAAAGATGTTAAATATGTTTTCCTTTTGCTTTTTTAACCCTTAGAATTTGTAGGCAATCATCATAACACTAATTCAGTAATCAATTGATTCCTTAAGCTAGTATGTTCACGAATAATTCTTTAACGAAGATTTTCCTTTAAGATCGATCAAAGTATTCAGCTTTTTCTTTTAATGAAGATATCGTTGCAGATTTATCTTACTTTAGTTAAATTTAATTATATCAAACTTTTGCACTATATACAGAACAGGATCTTCATCAAAGGCAGTGAAGATTCGTAAGCTATATCATATGGCTTACTTATATATAAATAAATCAGAAAAGACCAATTATTAGAAAATTACTAGTATTAAGACTTAACTGATAACTATAATATTGAAATAATCGATATGCATTACTTCTACGTAAAATCCACAGAATAACTACAATATATTTCGTGACCCAGCATTAAATTAACTGTCAAAAATGTGAATAAATAATAAATAGAAACAGAGCATAAAGACAAAATCTTACGAAGGCTTTTGTCGGTTGCAATGAGTTTGCACATCCCGAAGAAGCTCTGCCTCACCAAGAATCAACTTTGAGTTCTAAAACAAATACATATAAAACTATTATTATTTTCAACTTACGTGTGATCTCTCTGTACTTATCAGTACACAAAATCAAGCATATAATTTTAATATTGAATAGAGTTATTATATTAACACCAAATTGCCTCTTTCACATGCAGATGATTAGTATGTAAAAGCAAACATGCGTTTCAAATTCATTTGTGCGAGTTCATTTTTGTTACTAATTTTCACAAACCGAATGGATTTGTGGTGATTTAGAAGGCTATATAATCTTGCATACTGTTGGTGTACACGTATAATTATGTAGGTGCAAGGGAAGTCAAAATCTTGAGCTCCAAAAATCTTAGCTACTATGGGATTAGTTCTCGTGACCCAAGGACTTTTCATTGAATCTTCTTCAAAGCTTGAAACTGACACACTCGAGGCTTATCACGTGTTTTATACCCATATATTTAATACGCAAACCATAGTTGGCATTGTATTCATTTATAGAGTAACCAACTAACAAGAGTATCACTCTCTTAAAAGCTTTGCACTCCAAACAAGGAGGTTCACCACTCACACACATTTTTCTCTAGTAGAAAGAAACGGTAGTTCTATTATGGTGAATACTAATGACTATCCAATGGTGCATAATAAACTGTCGACAGGATATTAATCGATGGATGGGGAGGTAACAAGAATGTTGAACCAATGAACGAGAGGAGACAAAGAGAAAGAGTTTAATGGCTAGGAATAATAAAAGGACATAACCTATGGATAACCTGTGGACAGTTCTTGAGCCACAACTTTGTCTCCTCTTCTCCAAACAAGTAACTCTTGGCACATTCACACAAATACAAAACTCAAGACGTGTTTGTGTGTACCACATATGTGTGTGTGTGTTTGTATGCGTCGACAAACAAGGTTTTTGTTTGGTTATAGCCTTATAGGTGAAACTGAACCAATTAATACGAATCCAACAAATCCTGTAGAAGCTATGTGATGGTCTTGGATCTATGAAATGACTAGTGTATTTACTGTTCAGATAAGTTCAAAAAACCCATGAAAGGCTCAGTACTATCACCACTGGAGATGTTTGGACTAGGGAGAGAGACAGAATCTAATAGAAGATATTTTGTAATAAATATACTTGCATGTTGCTAGCTACCTAACTCCTTCACCCCCACAATCCCATGAGGTGGAGGTACCAAACCCAAACTACTATCTGATTTTCTTGTTGGAAATGTAAATGAACGGTTCAGTGAAACAAGAGAAACTAGTTAAGTACTTAAATTCTGGATTTCAATATGTTGGTCAAGTTTTGGGATTCACAACAATGATTGAACATAAGTTAAGTGCCTACGTTTAACCTGAAGAAACAGGATGAAGAACCCTAAACGATTCCGGATAGTCCTAAGCCTACCAGTAGTTTGAATTACTGGCCTACATAAACCAAATAATTTCTCCGCAAAATTAATACTTAAACCGCATATACGTGAGCCAGTGTTCCTCCGCAAAATACTGACTGACACCTAAACCACATCAACGTACTAACTAGTCACGGGATGATTGCTTCGAGGCACATGAGAAAACCTGTGACTTGAAGTCCTCTAGCTCTGTCAGTACTTCATCTTCCGGTCTGTAAATCAAGTCACTCATCCGCCATATCTGCCAAATTTTGAAAACCATAACAAAGTTTTTCATTTTTACCAAGAAAATTGATCGTAGATAGGTGCCCAAATCATGCAGTAAGAAGGTTAAAAAATACCTGCAGTGTACCACCCCCACCGTTACTCTCACAGTTACCAGAAACACTGACAATAGTCCAAGGTTCCAATACGTTCCAGTGGAAGTCGACTACGTTGTCCCTGAGAAGATATACATAAGGATATTATAGATACCATTGAAGCAAAACAAACAAGAGAATCAGGATTAAGCCTTAAGAACCTGTGACCAGCATGCTGGAAGAAAAGACCAGGAGGGCTTTTGGATGCACGCGCAGACTTCTTGCCGACCTAATGTGCATTTATATATGAATCTGATGAACTTGAAAGTAAGAAAAAAAAAAGTGTAATGTGAATCAGAGATTCAGAGGAAATGAACAAACCTTGTCATAATCCCATATGTTCAACAGACCATCTTCTGCAGAACTCCCAAAAACAGATGATTTAGCAGGAGACCACTGAATCAATAACAAAAGGTGTCATTTACAGGACAAACGATATACATTTAAAACCGATGTAGCCGCACCTGAACAGAAAGAACAGCAGCTTTGTGGCCTTCAAATATGTAGATAGGAGATCCAACCCCATTTGAGGTCAGGTTTCGGCGGTCAAACAAACGGACAGTGTTATCTGCTGACCTGTGAATTTGCGTTAAAAAGTCGTGAAAGAATTAGAAGCAGCTCTCTACCTTTTGGACAAGTACTTAAAGAGTGTAAAATAAGTACCCTGTGAGAATCAGATTGTTGTCATGAGGATTCCAATCGACACAGTGAAGATCAGCATCATGTGCTTTCACAACCTGCCAGAATAAAGCAAGAAAGATACGGAAACTGAAACAAGAACCAAAACGTTGAGCACCTGAAACTTCGATAGGGTTTAAAAGAGAGGTACCTTCATGGCAGGACCTGTGCCGGTTCGCGCATCCCATAGTATAAGACAAGAATCGTCACCAACACTGCAGAACTCCTGGGCACTACAGAACAAACAAAAAATTCACCAAAAAGCATCAGGAAAGTCTGAATAGTTTCGCATAAAAGAAAGAAATGTTCGAAAGAGTTACTTAGATGGACAGAATGACACATCTTCAACTGTATCTTCGTGGCCATGATATACACCTCGAGGGCCAACAGAACGACCACCAGTTTTATTACTATCTTCACCAATCTGTTTGATGCTAGATCCAGGGGATTTGGAATCTGAACAAGCTGTTGAGATATGATCTTGGATACTCCACAAAACAACTGACTTGTCCTTGCCTGTGCAAAAGAATCTTCGATGAGAGAAACTTGCAAACCACAAGCTAGGACACTAAGATAGAATAATACAAACCTCCAGAAAGAACAAAAGGTTCGGTTGGGAACATTGCAAGAGCAAATTCAGCATTATCCTGGTGTCCAGTTAGTATCTGCGAGATTAAAATTGTTCAGATGATGCACAAGCAGTTCTTTTAACGCTATGGGACAAGATTACGAAAAGAATATCATAAGAGAACATACCAAATCAGGACGAGAATGCGGAGCTCCAAACACAGCATGTCTATCTGGTTGAGTCTCAGTGTCCCAAATGAGAACCTGAAAACCAATTATACCATACTTGCATGACTGAGACTTGAACTTGTACGTCAAAATAAAAAAAAAGGATTGAAGAGAAATGAAAGCAATCTTATTTTTAAGGGTGGAGAAAGCAGAGCTTACATCAGGACTGTCGGTGTGAGTAGCTACAATCTTACTATTTTGTGGCAGTTCCCTGATTCTGTTGACCTGCGATTCATGAAGGGTACAACACATCACTAAGTCATTTGCAGTAATCAAGTCCTAAAGGAAGCACAGATTCAGGGTGAAATTAATACCTCTCCAGGGTGGATTATTGTCTTGTACTTCTTCACAGATGGAGAGCATGCTTCTCCATTAAGCTGAACATATATACAGAAGAAACAGTATTTCAATATTTTCATCTTAGCAGAGAGTAACACAAGGACAAACAGTATTTCAATATTTCATCTTACCTGTCTCTTAACAGCTTCGCAATTAGCTACGACCAAGGTATTAGGCACACTTCCGTCAGTCTAGTGACAGAACCAAGCAAAAGGTAAACATGACGAGTATTGGGCAAAAATTTCCAAGTTGGAGCGATATATATTTGTCTTAAGACAACTACAAGAAAAAAAGTGCAAACCCACTTGTTCCGTGAAATAGAGACGCTGCTGATTCGTCGAAGATGCTTGCTCAAACTGTGGTCCCCATCTTGTCAAAGCAGACAACAGACACACACACACAAAAAAAATCGAACTCTTTTACACAAAAGCTAAACACTTCACCAAATCTTTACCCCATCAAAAAAAACTGAAACCTGAAATATCTTTAGAATAAAAAGTATTCTCTAATACCTCAAAACCATTGGTCGCGGACAAAGTAACAAAACAGAACATACTATAACAAAGTCAAACAAGTGTAATCAACGACCACCAGATCATTCTCTTATCAAAACAAGTTCAAGAGTTTCATGCATATATCAAAGTCAAAGAAAAGCATGGAGACTGAGAGCTATCCTAAATCAAAAACGGAATAAACACAAACTAGATCATGCAATATTTGCTAACATAAAAAGACTCTTCATTTATCAGCAGTTTACTAGTTTAACTTCAAATGTGGTTTATAGCCTGCCCTAAGCACAAGTTCTGAATTTTGCTTTCCTCAAAAAGGATTACACTTTCTCCAGAACCAAACCCTAGAACAGAAAAGGAAACAAAAAAAAAAGCGCAGACCTGCAAGAGAGGGAAGGCCAGACGAGTCTATGGTTGGAGAGTGAGTCATAGAGAATGGGAACAAGAGTCTTCCACTGAGAGTACTTGTTGTCAAAGACTGGTTTGTGACTCTTCTGCTTCTTCTTCTCGGTGCTTCTCTTTTGCTGCGAAGATGGTAACCTAAACCCGTTGGTAAGCTTAGCTCTCCGAGCTCTCGTGTTCAGTCCAATGTACGTCGCCGGGGTCTCTGCTTCACTTTTCGTCGCCGCTGCTACTTCACTCTCCATTCTCTTCCTCCCTTTTTGTTAACTTCCTTTCTACTTTTTCTTATTATTATATATTTAGATTCTGTCTTTTGTGCCACGTGTCGTACAGTTATAGGTGAATTTCGTTTAGGGAATTACCAACAAGGAAGAAAAAAAGTTTGACTGACGCAAACGCTGTTATAATAATAGAAGGCCACATCGAAACTCCGTTTAGCGTTATAAAGTCCAGAAAGACAATCAAAAGTCTCTAACGTTCATAACTCTTGATTTAAATTGGCAGAAAATAAAAGTCTGTTTTTTTTTATTTGTTCATTGAAACTAGTTGTGAATAGTATTGAGGAAGAAGGATCAGACATAAACACCACTAGCAAGTAGCAAAAACAACGATCCAAATCCCTGCGAATTGAACAAAGAAACATATTTCAACACCGAGATTGCGTCTAAGACAGAAGTATCACAAAGCTTAGTGGACGAAGAAAGAAACCATACCAAGAAAACAGATGCTACAGCCGCAGTCACGAGCTCCATCCCGAGACTACGGTTTTTCCTGGATGATGTAGCTTCATAGCTGCATCAAATAATGTTGTAACATGTAAGTTAGAAACATAAAAAAAAAGACATCACTTTGAAGTTTGATCACTTCTTGTCCAACTGAATCTTAACCAGAACAGTGAATAAGACTAATATAACGGTTCAAGTCCATCTTAGAGGTTTTTGACTTGTGGCTAAACCCACATTGCTAGACACACTAATTCAAACAAAAACCGAATCATATCTCCTAGAACTTGCTCATTGCTTAAAACGAGAATTTGTGCAATATAAATTTCTAGTAATTAACTAAACCGATTAATTACATTCAGTGAACCGACTAAGTAGTAATTCAATAGACTATATATGCCCTTTACTAACTGACATGTCTGTCTGAGTCTTTATATCATGAGAGGATATAGAACTCACACATGTTCAAAAGTTAAATAAAAAATTCATAACTCCATGATCTCTTTGTTATACTAAAAAGCCTACACATAAACTAGGAAATGAAAATGCATTGTAACCAGCAATTGAGAGATCTGAATCTAAACTCGATCAGATCGAGATTAGCTTACATGAAGAAGAAAGCGGTGATGACGAGGCCAATCGCCAGAGTGAACACCGATAAAGTCGGGTACATCGCCACCGCAATCGGACTCGCAATCGGTTTCGCCGCCTGTGACAACAACAAAAAACGGAGATCGTAAGTGAAGAATGATTATCAAATTAGAGGTGATGGAGTACATTTGGACGGATCTGGAGGAATCACCATTTTTGAGAGCTAGAGAGATCTCTTCGATTCGATCTGGAGGAACAAAGGAAAACGATTTTGAAGCAGTTTCTACACGAGTCTCTCCCGGTGTGGACCGGACCGGTTTGCACAAAATTTATGGGCCCGTTTCGTTTAATGATTCGGTTCAGCAAGCCCAAGATTACTTGGAAAGGCCGTTCGGTAAAACAAAAACAAAACAAAATGGGTTGACGAAAAAATCTGTAAAAATCACACTGTATTTATTTATTTATTTATTTATTGATTCATAGATGTGAAAGGAGTACATTATTATGCATTTAATAAGCATTCTAAAGAACAGATGAATACAGTTTCCTTGGGATAAAAAACGTTTAAAACAAGACAAACAAAGGGAACTGCACGTTGAGTATCACAAATGTAACAGCGTGGTAAGAAACCAGGACTGGTTTGCATCGTTTTTATTCTCCATTTCTTAAATGTGACTATCCGTCCGGGCATGAAACGTGAAAAGTCGCCGAGAGCACATTCAATATGGAATGTGACACGACAACTATCACATGTGTAGAACCAAATCATTGTATCTATTTGTTCCTCGCAGATGTCACACCAATATTTTCCTTTCTTGTTTTTCTCGTAACATAGAAAGAGAAGATGTTCATCGTACCAGTGCTGTGTTGTTGTTGGTAAAACAACACATTGTATATCTAACACAAACTTACAGTCTTCGCAACCATACTGTTCATACTCCAACTCATTGCAAGAAGCGCATCCTATAACCTTCTCGTAATTGTAGTAGTACAATGTGCATGGATGACTTTCATGCATGACATATTCAGAAAGTGTGCCACACGTAACATCTATATTAATATCCCGAAAGTCGGTATACTTGAAACCTCCAGAATATTTGCCGCACATTGAGCAACCACGCTCTATCATGTCACCACATATTAAAGTTAATGGCTTGTCATGATAAAAATGCCGTTTCTTCCGAGGAAGACAAGCACATGTTTTATGGAGAATGAAATCGCACTGCACGCAGCTGTAGAACTCTTGAGAATATATAGGCAATACACATGCTTCACAACGAATGCTTCCACCAGATATGATAATTTCCCCATTGAGTTGCAAATAATGTTCCTCGTGACTAAAATGACATATTAGTTTTTCATCTATCACCTTAAATGGTTCGATTTCTTCACGTTCTTCAGGTATCCCCTTGAGTTCTAACTTGTCCCATAAATCATCCCGTATTGCACATTTAGAATGGAGGACATACTCAGGACAAATCGAACAAGAATACGACCCATAAGACCAGTCAACGCTTTTGTGGCAAAATTCGCATACCCGAGCCCTAGGATTTAGATGAAGACGTCTTTCTAAACGATGCTCGTGACGATTGATATTGATGATCTCCGGTAGGTCAGTACAGCTTTGATGGATCATGACATCGCATTGTTGGCATGAATAAGGACTCCGATCACCAGCCTCCCCACAAGCATCACAATCAAAAGAGATTTTCCTTGGTATAAGGGTAAGTTGATGTTCATGAGCCTTGGGAAATGAGATTGCAAGCGGTGGGGGATCCCCCACACAACCAATATCCACACTAAATTTACAGATTGGACAATGATAAAATTTTCGTCTTAGCTCATTTCCACATATACGACATTTCCCATCAGAGAAATAATGTTCTTCCCTAGTGAGGAACTTAAGGGGGTGTTTAGGGTGATAAGGGTAATATATCTCTAAAGCAAGCATAGAACACGCGATTTCAAATTCTAATCCACATTGAGAACATCTATAATGGTTTCTTCCACGAATTTGCTCTCCACAAAAATCACATATGGGAACATAAAAACTCTTCGTCGCGATAACAAGAGAGTGTTCATGGGCTTTGGGATATTCAATAACATTCGGTGGTGGGTTTTTGGCACAAGCCGTATCAACAACGAAATCACATATAGAACAATGGTAAAACATATACAACCAACTCTGTCCACATAACTTACAGTATCTCGCTTTGGGCGCCTCCAAAACTAGAGAGAGAGGATGAATAGGATGAGATGAGTGGTGAATCTCTAAGGATGTCTCTGCACATTCTTTGTGAAAGAACATGTTACACTCATAGCAACGATAGCCGTCTTTGCGGTAACCACCTGACCAACGGCAACCAGTGCATCTGGTAACCCAAGGAGCAGGATACAAAGGATGTTTGTGAATTGATAATTTTATTCTAATCATGGTGATGAATGTTTGTAATGATTTCGAGCACATTGATCAGTGTATATATATACCAACTTAGGTTATACATTAATCTTCTATTATACTATTATGCAACAAGCAAAAGAATTTTGATCATAAGCAAATAACAAGAAAAGAACATATCCTAAATGCATGCATAGTTTTTTCCTCGAACATATGCAATCCTTTCCTTTATTGGATAGGAATATACTTTTCTTTTTCGATTGGTTTACATATAAAAATTTATGCAAACATTTTTGTGCTCGGATGGGCTAAAGAAAATAAAAATGTGATCTTCTATTAACCCTAAACTAAGTTTTGAAAAGCAAAACAAAAAAAAAAAACAATAAAACTCATTACGTTCGCGTACCTTTTTTTTTATTACGTTGGCTTACTTACGAAAACATAACCTCTTATATTGATGGATATGCATTGATAAAATCAAAGATTGATGCCACTATTGATCAGCTAAAGTATAATGTATTTAATTGAGATTTGGAGAGTTTGACTGAGGAACTAGTAAGTTTGGGGATGTGGAGAGGTCGTGGACGAGCAACTTGGGATCGAAGCGTTGCCACAGGGTTGATGAATGAGGATGATTGAAACCCTGACCCTGAGATACTCTAATTTTTAGAATGAGGTGAAACAATATCATATGTCAATCTTCCGAGTTTTCTTAGCAACATATATGTAACTATTAAACATTGTCAACTTATCAAACTAATAAGAAAACAGAGCCAAACACATAATTTAGTAGTTAATTTGTTTTATGCTTTCGTTGCGTCACACTACCTAGATTCAAACGAATGAAACCGAGATGAATCTTTTCTTCTTTTAATTCCTGATTAACTTGGCATCAAAAATTCTTTTCGTGAAACAAAAGATGAATTTGCACATACCTCTCCTTTTTATTTCTTTCGTTTTTTCTTTTCTCGAATTATCTATTTTTTTGGTATAACAGAGAGCACGTGTTGGTCCGTGGATCCATCTCCCTCGCAGTGCCCTACCATCGTCATCGCTTACTATCTTAGTTTTTACTTATTTGCCACTTCCAAGAAACTTCTTATCCTCTTTTAGAAACGTGCTTTTTCCCCAAAGCAGTCTAAATCAGTATTAAAAATATGAGTAACTATTATTAAGAATATTTCCGAAAAAATGTCAATTAAAGAGTACAAGACACACCAACCATGCTTCCTTGCCGCGTAAATCTTTAAATAATGCAAAATAAAGCTTTTTGTATCCATTCAATCTTTCGACTTGGACAAAATTTCACAACATTCAATTTTCTTGTGGGTTTGTTGTAACACTTAAGCAAATACTTATACAATCAAACAAATTGGAAATCATCATCTAGTATATATTTTATCTGATAAAAATTAAGCTACTTAATTAACATTAAAACCAAAACAAATAAATTTGAATAAAATGTTTATAAATTTAACCAAATTTAAGTTTTGAGAGTCTCAGCTTTTGTGTTCATATATGATTAGTTAATATTAAGTTTAATGAAATAAAATTTATAAAATCTAGGACCATGTGGAAAAACCGTTTCTTATATAAGATTCACTAAGCTTTTGAACTGAAAACTTGATGTTTTTCAAAGTTTCTAACTTGTGTTAATTAAACAAGTCAACTATCATTACTTACGCATCTAAACATAGTCAAGTACTTATTAGCTAAGATCCGTCGGGTGTCTTCGAGAAGGCTTATAGACCATTCATTATAACTAACACATGATTTTCTTTTGCCAGATTTTATAGTTGATATATAATTGAGTAATATATTGCTAGTGTACTACAATGCATATCGAATCTAATATAGTTATAACGCCTTAATCAAACATGTTTTTCTTTTTGTCTTTATCTGAAATAATCAAACAAGTTTTACGCGGTGCAATCTCTCAATGAAACAGTGACCAGTAAACGCTTTATCTAAATTAAACAAAAAAAAGCGACAAATAATAATAAAATAACAGGAAAAAAGAAAGTCAAGTCACCGTCAAACCCATCTCCTCACCGCGTTCACACGTTCACGCGCTTCCTTCGTCTCTGCATCTTCTCTTATCAAAGACAAAGAAACTACTTTTATATAAATGTCTGAAACCAGAACCATCGAAATTCAAACACTTGGGAGCTTTGATTTCACATCTAAACACAAAGTCAAACACTTTTCAAAACCACAAAAAAACATTCGTCAAACTCTGGATCCCCCTTTAATGGAAATATCTGCTTTCCCATTTCCATACCTACAGGAAGACGAGTGTTCCCATTTCCTTGGTCTATTTCAAGACATGGACTCTTCTCCTTCTGATTTCGGGTTCGAAGGTTTCGGTAACGAAAACTCTAAGAAACGACCAAGAAAGGAAGACCAAGAAGAAGAAGCTGGACCTGTGAATGGTGGTAGTAACAAACCCGCCTTTGGAGATATACTCGCAACCCTTTTGTTACTAGACGAAGAAGCTAAACATCAGCAAGAGCAGTGGGACTTCGAATCTAATCGAGAGAAGTCTCTTCTAGAAGCTAATCACAAGAGCAAAGTCAAAGCAATGGATGGTTATTACAATCAGTTACAAGGTCATTACAATACACCTCAAGAAACAGATGTCACTCGTCCAAAACGCGCACGAAGAACCGCCGTCGCTGCTGTAGCTTCCGCGGTTGCTTCCGGCGAGGAAACACCCGTCGCTAATGCTCCGGTTCAAGCCACGGATATCGCTAGCGGGTCCGGGTCAGGACCGAGTCACAGGAGGTTATGGGTGAAGGAACGCACGACTGATTGGTGGGACAGAGTGAGCAGCCCTGATTTTCCGGAGGAAGAGTTCCGCCGAGAGTTTCGTATGAGCAAATCGACGTTTAATCTAATCTGCGAGGAGCTAGACGCGACGGTTACGAAGAAAAACACGATGCTCCGAGACGCGATTCCAGCTCCAAAACGCGTCGGCGTCTGCGTCTGGCGTTTAGCCACGGGAGCTCCGCTACGCCACGTGTCGGAGCGGTTCGGGCTCGGGATCTCCACCTGCCACAAGCTGGTCATCGAGGTCTGCCGCGCGATCTACGACGTCCTGATGCCGAAGTATCTCCGCTGGCCGTCGGATTCGGAGATCCGATCGAGTAAAGAGAAATTCGAATCGGTTCATAAGATCCCAGACGTGGTGGGATCCATCTACACCACGCATATACCGATCATCGCTCCTAAAGTTCACGTGGCGGCGTATTTTAACAAGAGGCACACGGAGAGGAACCAGAAGACGTCGTACTCGATAACCGTACAAGGAGTGGTCAACGCGGATGGGATCTTTACCGATGTTTGCATCGGGAACCCGGGATCGCTAACCGACGATCAGATCCTCGAGAAATCTTCGCTTACGCGGCAACGCGCTGCGCGCGGGATGCTACGTGACAGCTGGATAGTTGGGAACGCGGGGTTTCCGTTGACTGATTGGCTTTTGGTTCCGTACGCGAGACAGAATCTGACGTGGACGCAGCATGGGTTTAATGAGAATATTGGTGGGATTCAGAAGATCGCGGTGGAGGCGTTTGAGAGGCTTAAAGGAAGGTGGGCTTGTCTGCAGAAGAGGACGGAGGTTAAGTTGCAGGATCTTCCGTACGTGTTGGGCGCTTGTTGTGTGTTGCATAATATTTGTGAGATGATGAATGAGGAGATGGCGCCGGAGTTGAAGTTTGAGGTGGTTGATGATGTGACTGTGCCGGAGAATAATATTCGATCTGTGACTGCGTCTAACAAGAGGGATCAGATCTCTCATAATCTATTGCATCGTGGCTTGGCTGGGACGAGGACTGTCTAAAAGCTGAATGGAGTTTGTGTTTCTTTTTAAACTGATTTTTTATTGCAAAATTCTTTTTCAAGATTAGGAATAAGCGAAAGTGTTTTAGTTTGATACTTAGATGAGATTGGATACAGAAAAGCATAGTGTATTTGAGCTGGTTTTGTTTGTAATACTATTAGCATTGTGTAATCTTATAGTTAATGTATTCTCTATATAAATTGAATTTGAACCTTTCCAAAGATTTGGTGGTAAAACATGAGTTAGTATGTAGTGTTTATTCCTAGACAACTTGGAATGTGCGGCAAACGGAACAGTTTCGTTTTCAAAATGAGTTGAAACGAAAAGATACAGAATCATATGAGCAAAGAGTTATTCTATTTTCTCCATGGTGGTAAAAGTTCTGTTAGACTGTTAATTTGGGGTTGTTACATGTTTAACATGTTAAATTCATCAGATATAATCATGGTCCAATCATTTTATGGTATTCTTGGAAGTGATGGATGATAATTGATACACATAGGAAAAGGGTTACATGCATTTATCTTCTTACACATGGCATTTGGGTTAAATTTAGATTTTATGTTAGAAGTAAACTATGTTTTTGAACACGTAGCAACACTAACTCATCATAAATTTAATTTTGCTAACTCAAACTCTTCTGTTTAGGAGTCCATCTTTTAATTTCATGTTTAGTTGATTGAAAATACTATTCCAGTGACTCCTTTCTTCGGTGTAGTTAGTTTTTTTTTTGGGGTCAAATGGTGTAGATATATACACATAATATATCTTGAACATATTTTAAAATCACCTGATTATTTATCTAATAGGTAAGACAATGATTAGTAGTCAATAATACACGTTTTTGGGTGGAAAAAAACTAGTCAATTCTCAATAGAAATGATTCAACAAAATTTAATCTTAAAGAACCTAATTATGACTTCAGAATCTCAGATGATGTAAATGCTTTGTACAAATCTGAATGCAATTAAGATGACATCAAAGGATTAAATGTTTTTAGATTTAACTAATGTGGATTTTACCCTCTTTTTTTTGTCAACATGTGGATTTTACTACTAGTAGAAAGATAATGAAAATATTGAACAAAAAATGATTTTCTTATTTATTGATGTTATCCAATTGTTCGGACAATATATAAACAGATAAAAATCGTCATTCGTCAATCGTCACAGCTTAACAAAAAGCCATTCAGCTT